TGTTTGTTTGTTTGTTTGAGATGTGAAGTTTTGCATGTAAATCAAATGGAGTTTGCCAGAAAATTCATTGCCTGAGCAAATACGGTCTGCTCCTTGGGTGTTGCCAAGTAGGAGAAAGATGGTTTGTCTGGAGAGACTCCAGAGAAAACTGTCAATACCAAAGAACTGAAAACTCAGAATTAAAGGATCAAGGTAAGGGGATCTGAAATCACCCCTCCCATGCATTTTCTGTCTACCCACAACTCCCAAAGTTTGCTTCATATTTCTGACAAGACACTGGACCCCAAAGTGTTGCATCTGGGCATTCTTATTCTGCTTCTTGGTGAGGCAATGGGGTGACCCCTTCAGCTGCAGAATAGTGAGAAGGTATGCCCAGGCCCGTGCAGCCAGAGGGAGTCACGTCTCCTTGTCTCCTCGGAGCGCTCATGCTGAGCTGGTGAGGCCAGGAAAGTAGGGGCAGAACCGGATGACCCTTGTAACATTCCCACTGGAGTCTCCTCTTGCTTCAGGCCCATTGACATCTCATGTGAGAGACCGGCCATGCCACGATGAAAGAGCATAGCGTGTTGCAGCACCCCTGAAACTGTTTGCCCAGAGAACCTTTCCTCACCCTTTCCCTGTATGGGTGCAGAAAAGAGTTAACATGGCAAACCTGAAACTGGCTTTGGAAAGCCTTATTTGCAAGATTGGCCCTTGCTTGGCATCTGAGAACTTGAACTTCAGGAGTCTTCCCACTGTTCCCTAACAGTCAAGCTAACTATTCAAAAATCATGGCTCATGCGGAGCACCTGTTTCCTTTGGGGAGTCTGGAATTTGGGCAAGAGCGAGGCAGAGGGTACCTATGTGACCAACCCCCCATAAACACCCTTGAGCACTGAGCCTCTAGTGAGCATCCCTGGCAGACGACATGACTGAGTGTTGTCACAACTCATTGCCAGTGTGGTAAGCACAGCCCCTGTGCCTTGATTAGGAGAGGACCCTTGGAAGCTTCTGCCTGGTTTCCTCCAGACTTTGCCCAAGTGACTTTTCTCCTCTGATTTGCATCTTTTCATCATGATTTATCGTGTAGTATATACAATATATGTACATTTATATCTGATCATAGCCATGTGGGTGGCTGTCTGGTGAGTCCTCCTAATGAACCCATAGAACCTGGAAATAGTCTTGGGGCCCCCAACACAGGAGTAATGGGGCTAACTTTGCAGGCAGTGTTTTCCAGAGTCCTTTTTCAACGATTCTAGTCGAGTTCAGCAAATGGCAGAAAAAAGAGGGAGTGTGTGCGGGAAGAAAGGGACAAGCTAGGATAGTTCTCCCTCTCTTGACCCCAGACAGTGTTTCTCGTAACGACTGGTGCTCCCACCAGTCAGGACCACAGGGTTCCAGTGCCTGACATTCCCACAGTCCTCCCACTGTGATGACACCAACTCCTCCCTGCTGTTGCTAATTGTGGAGTTGACTCACCTTCTCCTGTTTGGTTTCTTGTCTCTTCTATCACCTGTGTAACCAATCCCCTGCCTTAAATTCCTTCTTTCAGAAAGACTTAAAGAGGTCTTTGTTTTCCTAAATGAAAACCCCACCCGTTACATTTCTTAAATATTTACAGGGTTCCACCTCCGTGCCAGGCAAGAGCATTCAAAAATAAAAGAAACAATCCCATCCTTAAGGACCTCAGAGCATATACACCTGTGGAAATTCCACCCCTAGCACAGTTCAAGATTCACTGTGTGACCAGAAACCTTTGCTCTGATGTCTCAGCCGTATAACCACGAGGAAATGCTCTGTAAATGAATGGGCTTTCACCATATGCTAGGGCTTGGTGCCTGGGACACATTTTTATTGACTTTGTTAAGCACAAGGAAAGCCATTGTATTGATGATGCTATGAGGCTGGTGGTTTGGGGGAGTCAGAAAGCCAACCACTGTGTGTGCATGTTCACACAGCCAATAATTAGTCTCAGGCCAAAAGTGACACTGTGGAGGTGATCGTGAGGGTGATAAATCTGTCCTGAATGCACAACTCAACCCCAAGTCCTGGAAGTCCTGGGGGGTATCTGGCATCGGCATAACCTCATCTGAAGGGTACAAGGGTGGCCGCTCATCCTCAAACCCCACATGGGCAAGGGTATCTAGGAATTCCGGACACTCAGATTTAATGTTTGCCAGGAGAACTACCAGAATATGATAGCTAGAGTTTGGGGGAGGGTTCTAAAAAATACTGAGGAGACCTGAAATTGTATGAATGCTGAGCAGAAGCAGTACTAGACATCTTCTTTAGGGTCTTCTCTAGCGCTCCACAAGGAATGCGGCAAAGATGGCCTTTGGATAGTCAAGTGGTCAGCAGCCTCTCTCCAGAGAACTCTGGCTGGAGTCTCTACCCTTTGCAGCCAAGTAGGAGTACAACAGAGGAAACAGAAAGGGATCATGCAGTGTGAGAACTACAGCAAGGCCAACTCCCTGCAAGGCATCTGGGGAGTCAATGGAGGGCGACTGGGCAGGGAAGAAAGATGGAAGCCACATGGCAGAAGCTTAGTGACGGAGAGGAGGAGAGGAGAAGCAAAAGTGGAAGGCGGGGAGGGGAGACTGGTGTTGGGGGAAGGTTTTCTAAAATCCTAGAGACCTTAAATTGTATGAATGCCGAGGGAAAGAGCAGTGCTGGAGGCAGAGTCGAGCTTGTATGGGGCCTTGTCAGTTTAAGTTTGGAATTTATCCGAAAAGCAAAGAGAAGTCATCATACAAGGGCTTTGTGCAAATAATCTGATTTCAGATTTGAGCTCTGCAATGCTCATTCTGACTGCACTGTAGAGAACGGACCGGAAAAGGATACATGGGTACATTCAAGGGCTGCTTAAGAGGTAGGATAAAAAATGTTTGCTCAAGGGTTGGATTTGATGACTGAGGGAGAGAAACAAAGAGGCCTCAAGAATGATGCCCATGTGTCTGGTGTGCCACCTGCATGCAAGACGGTGGGATTCATTGAGGTAGAAAACTCCTGAGTTGTGCCAGGTTTTCAGGGCGAGTGATATGTCTCAGGTTAGACATGATGAGCACGGGTTGTCACTGGGATATGACAAATGAGGGTGGTCAGTAGGCACTTAGATAAGGGAATCTACAGTTCTGGAAAATATCCTGGCTAGAGACCCAGATCTGGGAGGTGTTGGGGTATTAATGAAACTTTAAAACAATGAGAGTTGCTGAGACAATCAAGGGATATTGCGCTGCATTGGAGGAAACCGCAGAGTGTTCGATGTCAAGGAGGCCCAGGAAAAATGCTTCCAAAAGGTTAGGTGAATAAAAACTGAATCCTGTCTTTTGGCCTGAGCACAGGCCTTGGAGACCTTGACCTCTAGTTTCAGTAGAATGATGAGTTGAAAGCCAGATGACAGAAACTTAGTGATGATGGGGAGGAATGACAGCAGGGTTGGGGACATGGGAGGCGGGGACATAGGTTGGGGGAGGTTTAAAAAAAAATACTCAAGAGACCTGAAATGGCCTGAATGCTGAGAAGCAACAGGGCTGGTAAGCAGGAGCTTGAAGCTACAAGAGGAAGAGTGGGTAAGAGGCACAGCAAAGCCCTGGAGAACAAGGCAACATAGAAGCCTGGTTTGGAGACACAGGGGGAGGAGGAACCTTTCCAACTTTAGTAACAGGAAAAAAGAGGAAAAGATAGATAAGGTTGCAGGCAAGTGCATACATTCTGTAGCAGAAAATTGAGAGAATTTCTAACCAATGGCATCTTTTTTTTTTCTTCTTCTCTATAACGTTAGAAGATGGAGTGGCAGGGTCAGAAATCTGAAGACAGTAAAGAAGGTTAGAAATAGCCAGGTGTGATTGGGTGCCATGGCTCACACCTCTAATGCCAACAATTTGGGAAGCCAAGGAGGGTGGATCACCTGAGGTCAGGCATTCGAGATCAGCCTGGCCAACACGGTAAAGCCCCATCTCTACTAAAGACACAAAAATTAGCCAGGCATGGTGGTGTGCACCTGTAGTCCCAGCTACCTGGGAGGCTGGGGCAGGAGAATCACTTGAATTTGGGAGGTGGAGGTTGCACTCCAGCCTGGGCAGCAGAGTAAGACTCTGAGAAAGAAAGAAAAGGAAAGAAAGAAAGAAAGAAAGAAAGAAAGAAAGAAAGAAAGAAAGAAAGAAAGAAAGAAAGAAAAGAAAGAAATGAGAGAAAGAAAAAGGAAAGAAGAAAATAAAGAGAAAAAGAAAGAAAAGAAAGAGAGAGAAAGAAAAGAAGGGGAGAGGGAGGGAGGGAGGGAGAGAAAGTAAAAGAAGAAAAGGAAAATTTTAGGAGGAAAATGTTCTTTTCTCTCTAACTTTTGAACATACACTGAAATGATTTTCAGAGAAAAACAAAGTGTTATTTTCTGATCTGCGGGGCACTATAAAAATGTTTACTCATCTTCCTTGGGGCTAGGCATCCCATTCCTGCAGGAAGTCTTGTGGTGAGGCAGTGGCTGTGCCTCTGGGATGATTCAAGAAGGGAGACCATGCCTTATTTGCACAGGAGGGACACGTTGCTCTCACTGGATGCATGGTCACAACTGTCTGTGTGACCTGTTTGTGGGAGGGCAGACCCTCTCCTGCCAAGCCCCAGTAGCAGCCAACCTGCCAGGCAAAAGTGTTCCTTTGTAAAGAAGACCCTCCCAGCCCCTCTGACCTAAAGGGAGGGGAGGGGACTTCCTGGCACTGCAGGGACTTGGCTGGTACTCCCAGCAACCAGAGGGGTGTGTGTGTGCGTGTGTGTGCGCGCAGAACTAGGGTGGAGATGGGGAGGAGAAGGAGGAATGGGAAACTGGGAGTAAGAGGGATAGGTGGGAGAGGAGGGGGCACCTGCCGGGGTAACAGGCCAGGATGAAGTAAATGGAAAGTCCTCAGAGCTCGGCTGCTGACTCCAGCTGTCGAGAAGGGGGAGGAGAAAACCCCGTGGGACAGGGGAGGAGGGTGAGGGCTCCTCTTAGGAAGTTATTTAAGAGCCAACTTTCTTGTCTTTCCTGTGTCCTTTTGAGGAAGTCCCCGGGGCGTACAGAGCAAGCCCACGCGAGGGCACCTCTGGAGGGGAGGTAAGCCGCAGGTAAGCCGCTGTCCCCGCACCCTGTCCAGGGGCCCGCTGCGTCCACCTCCACCGCAAACCCGCAGGCGGCTGCTCCGGACCTGTGGCGCGGGGGCGCAGGCAGCCCCACCTGCCCAATCCTGGCTTTCTGCCCCCGACTCCGCACCTGCCCAGCGCTGCTTCTGAGCTAGACTTCAGCTAGACTCCACGCAGCTCTCCTGAAGGCGCTGCTTGCTAAGAAGGCCACCAAGTGGGGATGGGGGAGTTCGGGGTGCTTCCCAGAGGGACAAGCCCCCTTTCCTCAGGGGAGCAGATTATGGAGCTAGAACACAAAAGGTGGGGGGAGTGGGGCCAAGGGAGAACGGCCTGCTCGGTGGCTGGAACCCCTCCGGCTTGGCTCCCCCGACTCCTGCGCAACGCCTTCCCCATCCCAATTTGGAGCTGAATTTGAGCCACTTCTGCCCAAACCCGCCCAGAAGCGAGGGCTCCAGCCCGCCGCACTCCCCCAGCCAGGCGTGTACCTGCCGCTCTGGGGCTCCCCAGTTCTCCCCCTCAGCAGCGTGTCTCCCGACAGCGAGCCGCACTGTTCTGCACCCCAGCAGTGCCACAGCCTACCTCCGCTATTTCCCACCAGATGACGGCTTTCTCTGGCCTCCGTCAGTAACCCTTGTTCTCGCTTCTCCCTCCCTTCCCAGTTCAGCTCACCAGTGATGGTAAATATATTTGTCGATATTCATGGGTACCTGTTCACACCTTGTGCATGCAAACACTCTCGTCTCCTTCTCAGACCACACACCTTAGGCGTGCTTGTCTTTTCTCTAGCACGTTGCTAGTGCTCCACATGTCTCTGGAACCGTCTCTCTCCTCTGGTGGCCTCTCTAATGGGGACTGTTCATCTCGGGAGTGTGCCTGGTTTTTGAAAATAACCAAGTTGCCAGGAGTCATGACTGTAATCCAGGGGATCAAGGGGGAACCCTCATTGGGCCCAGAAACAAAGTCCCCCTTTATTTGGTCAGTTGGTCAACAAGTACTTACTGGGCGCTGACCGTCAGGTGTGTGCTGTTTAAACTGGCTCAGTGCCTGCACAAAGTCCAAGGGAAACGGAGGCAGGCTTGGGGCATGGGGAATGTCAGCAACCCTGACTTCTTAAGCCTACTGATAGCCCTATTTAACGTGGCATCCCTAACCTCTCCACCTCCTTCTCCTCCTCCACGTGGTTCTGTTTTCAAAGCAGTTCCTACCTCCTCATCCATAACTGGATTTACTTATGGCTCTTGTTGGGCTCCACCCTAACCCTACCAGACTGTAATCTATCAGAGCAAAATGCAGATCTGATGCATCCCATGTTCCTAGATCACAGCCTGGCATGCCATAGGCCCTCAATAAATATTGGTTAAATTAAATTGCAAATGTGAACGCTTTAGAAGACAACATTTATCTGAACATGCTTGTGCGAGTTTCTTCTTAAAAGTGACTTATGATCTCATAAATCTCTGTGAAATGAACACAGACACGGCACATGCATATAACAGGAAACATTTCTTGCAAAGATGTTGCTATTAGGATTATGGAGAGTGAGTCTCAAAAATCTTTTAATTTTTTAAATTTCTTTAAATAAACCCTTTTTCTTCTGCTTCCTACATCTTTTGGCATACACAAAATCTCCCTGAGATCCTTGGGGAGCTGTATTCCATCATTAGACTAATCCTTGCTGCCACGTATCAGTTTTTTTTTATTTTTGCAAACCTCCAAATGTGTTGCTCAAGTGCTATCACACACAGATATGTCTGTTTTTTCATTTTGGAATCCTTGTCTCAAATGTTACTTATTTTACATGCCTTTTCTATTGTCTTTCTTTCTTTCTCTCTCTTCTCTCTCTCTCTTTCCTTCCTTCCTTTTTTTTTTTTTTTTTTTTTTTTTTGCTGAAGGACCTTGTAAAGCCAAGAATGTCAGAAACCTCCAGGATCTCCTCCTTTGGAGGCAGGAGAGCAGTGCCACCCAACAACTCCAATGCAGAGGAGGATGACCTGCCCACAGAGGAGATTCACAGCCTGGTGCCCCGGGGCGTCAACATGGAAGGTAGGAGCATACGCCCCCTCCCCACCACTCTGGGTCCAGGCACAGCCGGCCCTGGCCCCTCTTCCCTGCAGGTAAACATCCTCCGTCTGCACTGGGGTTCCCACAAAAGGAAGCCCCCTGCCAATCTCTGGTTTTATAAAGGACGGAAGCAAAAGCTTTAAGTGGTGAAAGCACTAGAGACTCAGATCCTTGTTCCAGTTCTGCCCCTTACTGACCTTGTAACCTCAGAGAAGTTGCTTTGTCTTTCTGCCTCTCAACTATTTCCTCCACAAAACCAGGGTGCTGGATTAGCTAGGGTCTCTTCCAGCCCTACTGCTCAATGCGTTAGAGAATTTTCTCTAGCTGGAATATTCCACTTCCAAAATATTGTGGCTGTTTTGATTGTCTGGCTTGCACCTCCTTTCTTCTCCCTCCTCCATCCATTGCTGTGAATTTCAGAGCCGGGGAGAAGTGCCAGACTCTGACAGTAATAGAGATGGAAGCCCTCGATTTCTCTCCAGAGCAGCCTGGTGAGCTGGCAAGGCAAGCTGCTTCCCCAGCCTCTTGCCTCTGCCTGATCCCTAGAAATCTGCTCAGGGTACAGCAGCCAGCAGCTGACCTCCTCTCAGCCCCGTCAGCGGTGACAAGGTCCAGGTGCCAGCACTGGTTTGTTGATACAGATATCATTCCCCTGGGCCATGGCAGGGACATTCAGACTCATGTCCCCAAATGGCATTGAGTGGGGAGCCTTTTTTGTTAACAGCATTCATGCACCAAAATCCTATTTTACTCCTAAGGGTGTTTTGTGCTGGGTTTGACTGGGGATAAACACCCATTTGCTGGGATAGGTGAGCACAGGCATGCTAGAGCTGTGTGATTGATCAGTTAGAGGGAGACCAATGCATGAAAGCCCAGACTGATGCAGCTCTCCAGATAGCAAAGGGAAAGGGGCAATGCAGTTTATCCAGCCAGCCAGACACCCGCCCAGGTGTTGCGTACTGGTGTTATTGCGTTACTCTCACGTCTAGATGATTTGATATCAAATAGTGAAATCGGAGAGGTATCCAGTGCCATCCAAGTTTGGGAAAAGAGGTTCAGTCAGGTGGTAGAGTTTGAGGAGCTAAGACAAACTTGTAGTCCTGGCAACCATAGAACTGAGACTAAGAGGACTTGCTACTCAACGAATCCCCATCCCCATGTTATAGGTTAGGAAATAGAGGCCCAAGATAAGCAGTTGGTATTTACTTCTTGCCCAATCTGCTGGTCTTTTTCTTTAAGAATGCAAATAAAATTGGAAAGCCTGCAGACATCAAATTATTAAGCAGGTTACCTTTGTGTATTCCGTCTTCTAGCCAAATTCCCCTGTGGCAGAAAAGACTCTGGGCCTCTGGAAAGGGGGTGCAGACAATGGAAGAAGTGGGCAGTAAGAACACAGGAAGTAATGACACAGCCACCCTTGCCACGTAAAGAGTCATGACACAGCCACCTTTGCCAGGATTGGTGGGGAAAACCGTGAATCTCTACAAAGGCAGTGCAGGGGAGCAGAGCGCAGAGGTGGAAGACCTGGCTTCCTGTTCCACATCCACCACTTCTTGCTATTATTCTGGGAAAGTCATATAGGTGCCCAAACCTCAGTTTCCCCATAAGCAAAATGGAAGCAATGACTACTTCACAGATGTCATGAGCATCTAGTGAGCAGTGTCTGTGATCATGTCTGACCCACAGTGCATGATCAGTAAGTGTCCATTGATTTGAAATGTACAACTTATCATACCCCAGCAAGGTCAGGAAAACACTCCAGGGGGTACTTGTTCCTAGAAAATATGCATGACCTGCAGCCCCCATAAATCTGACATGTGAACAAAATGTTGCTAGTAAGACATTAAAACTGCCAGAGAACTTGTGCAGGCAGGTCAATTTAAAAAAAAAAATCTGGGATTACTGCTTTTGTTTATTTCTGGAGGCAGAGGCGGGGGGCAGCATGACTGAATTATTGTGAAAAATCAGTCATCATTTACTTGGCAGTCATATGTGTCCACAATCCAAGTGACACTCTGGGATATTCACTGGAGGCGCTGGCATAGGAGTGTGAATGTCCAATGACTGTACAATTAACGAAACAGTCAATCACTTGTGAAATGAATGACTTACAGCTCTAGTGGCATTATAATTTATTATTAATAATGCTCTCCAGATTTCATACATATGCATTTATTTAATATTTTTCACGCAGACAAGATAAGTGTTACATGCTCTGGGGATAGGGTTTCTGAAGCCCAGAATCATGACAGCAAGTCCCAGATGAGGTAGGACAGGAAAAAACTGTATATATATCAGCACACAAACCATCTGAACAGGGAGGTCTTTCTCCTGATTACCCTTTGCATTTCACATCTTATGTTTAATTGTTCTAAAAGCAGATTTTCTGGCAGTATATCAAGTTTTCCCCAAGTCACTAAGGGACAAAATTTGCTAAGCGACTAAACCTCGGAAGGCATAGTTATTCGTTTTTGAAATGCCATCTTCATGCAGTTCACCCAGTGGCCACTAGTGGCCTCTAAGAGGCCTTGGGTCTGTGATCACCAATCTGCAGAGATGACTTTGGCTCCACAAACACCAGCCCCAAGTTAAACTCGCGTCTCCATTTTTTTCGGTGGCCACTCTTCCCTTTAGCTATCTGCTTTTGTAATACTGACTGACAAATGCAGAGAGGCAAGAAGAGGAAAAGGGGGGAAATGGTAGGTTTTTCATTTCTAGTAGTTCTGTAGCAGTCCTGCCCATCACTGCGTGTGATATATACAATGTTCTATAGGTATACTGAGCGTGTATAATACCCTTAAGTCATGGCTTTGGTAACATTTGGTTAAGAATTATTTTGGTAAAATCTGTATTTTAAAATGTGTAAATTCATGTAAGTTTCCTCCCATACGTACCATGATATTCAAGAAAAAAAATGAAGTATTTCAGGTGGACACCGAAATCCCAGAGGTGGGACCAGACAGTCGCTGGTAGTATTTGACGTCTTGGCATGATTTTAGGCATCCTTAATGTCACCCTTTGAATTCAGTTGTAGCCAGGAAAGGTACTGAGATGATCTCCTTAGATTTGGATTTGTATCCACTTCTAATAGCCCATTCTTCAGGCTTAGCTGGTGTTTCTGAAAAATCTCTCCACTGCCCTCCTGGTGTGAAAAGTTGTGTGTAGCTGGAAATGTAACATTCCAGAAGACAATCTTATGTCGTTGGTCTAGTTTGGTTCTATCTTGTTAACAATAGGTGACCATTTGTAGCAGCAATTGGAATCATTATTTGGCAGTTCTAATGTATTGAATTAAAACTGGAAAGCAAGGCTGGCTCTATTAAAAAATCAAATGTAGTTGGGTTCTCGTAGTTTTCAGGGTAATGGGGTCTTATACCTTTCCGAGAATCTCTTCCTTCCCACCAGTCCTTGTTAGAATTAAATCAACCAATTAATGATCAATCTCCTCTTTGTGCAGAGTAAACCTCTCTGGATTGAAGCTTGATGAGAGATTAAGAGGCATTCAGTGTATGACTGAGAAATGCCATTATCCAGCAGAAATTCATCCTTTCATTCAGTTCCGGGAAAAATATACACTGGTTTTCACATATGTGTCAGGAGCTGCTCCAGGCTTTCCCTTGGGACATAAAGTTGAATAAGTCAGTCTCTGGCCTCAAGAAACTCTCAGTCTAGAAGACAAAATAAATAAAAGATTATTGCAATTCAGTGTAATAAAGACTGTGACTACGATTTATGCAAATTGTAGTAAAATAACAAAAATCAATGTCTAGTGGTGAACGGGGTGAGGAGAGCTTCCTGATGCAAGGATATCGAAGCTCAAACTTAGAGGATGATTGAGAGCGTTCCTGACAGGCGAGCACGTGGAAAAGCATTTGCAGTAGAGGGAACAGTATATGCCAAGCAAGCGGTGACTAAAAGACAAAAGAGAAGTTATAAGCCTGGGAAAAGATGGCAGCTGTCATAGCACGACAGGCCTTGGGGATCTTTTTTTTCATCCTGCAGACAATGGGAGACTTGAGAGGTATTCTAATTAGCAGAATACATAATCAGAATTATGGTTTACAAAGTGGTAAGGAGAAAAGGGAGAGCAGTAAATACATTTAGAAGCTGTGGAGATATTCCAAGCTACAAGAGGAATAGACCAGTGGGATTTTAGGCCCTGGAGGTATGGGTCTCATTTCTGTTGCTCCAGCTTCCTCTGAGCACCTGAGCAATCCTTCAACATTACAGGCTCCAGGAGATATTAATAGCAACGCTTTGTCAATTAAGCCACTTAAGAAAATGTTTCTAATCATTCTAATTAAGGATATGTTAAAATTCTGGATGTCCAAAAGAAATGTGAGAAAGAGTTCTTTTTCCTGTTGCTTTTAAATAAATAAACCAGTTTCTCATGGATAGCATTTATGCTTATAGTTTAGTAATAATATCACCAAAAATTGCAGGGAGAATTCAGTTTGCTAGGGAATTCCTAGAATATAAGTCTAAACATTTATTTCAAGATCCCATCTGTGACAGGTATAATCATGCTCTGAAGAATATTTTACAACCTAGGGAGACAATAATCTACATTTCTTTTCATATTAGGGGAAGAGGAGGAGGACAGGGAGGCAGCTGCTCCTCCGGAGATGTTTTTTCTTTTCTTTAGCTGTCCGTTTTCCGGTGTGTTTGGAATTAGGCTAAATTGTGTTAGGTAGACATTTTGAAAGCTGTCACTTTGAAATGGCGAGCTGCCAAGTTTCTAGCTACAGTATCTCAAAAAACAAAGAAAGGAAAAAAAAAAAAAGTGGCTTAGCAATGAACTGTTCCATTTTGCCAGGAACTAGGCTTAGACAGAGGAAGCAAATTCATTTCCTGTTTGTGGCAAATGGAGCCTGGATGATGATAAAGCTTTTTCCATCTAAACTGTCTTGTTAAGCCAATAAACAAAGCACAAATCAATATGTTGGTTTAATCAATGCTTGCTAGAACACGCTCCATGGGAA